ACCCCCCCCCCCCCCCCCACGAGTTAGTACGCCCCCTTCAATCAAAAAAATTAAATAATGTTCTCACAGAACAATTGTTTAACACGCTTTGCTTATCTTTTGAAGCACGATAATCACTTAGGCATTGATCAAGACGTTTCGACTGCGTACTGCAGGTCTTCATCAGCCGATAGTGTCGATTTGCCGCTGAATAGGACTATTAGTACCACCACGGTTGCTAGTGATTGGTGTATCACGAACCACACTCATGGTTGGCGGGTTTTGATCCGACTACCGTCAGACAAACGATAAAGAAAACCCTTCATACACATACTCCGATGAACGATATCTTTCATGACAGAGCGATTGCTGTTTGGAATTTGTATGTTGTGTAATAGACCTTTCACGCAGGTGAACCGGAAAAAAGCAGTAAGTCGAAACGAGGCTTCGCCTTGTACGTTGTGTAAAATTGTCCATACACCCCTTCAGCGCAATGCCCGAAAGGTCTGTTGACGAAAATTTCTTCACCCACATTATCAAAGGTCTCCAATAGGCTTACCCAGTCCCGTCATCTTCACCAAATTTTCGCTCAATCCTGTAACCTCGACCGGCCAAATTTCCGCTTAATCCCGTCATCCCAACCCAAATTTCTGCTCAATCCCGTAATCCTGATGGTTATTCTCCGCATCCCACATCCCGTGCATACTTTCATTCTTGAATCTCGCCCTATTTTGCTTTAAAATCCCGGATAACAGACTTCAAATAAGGCAAATCCCGTATCCTGAAAAACCCACTGGGGATCCTCATTTTCAACTGCCAGCGAGCGATAGAGCGATTTTCGTATGATCCTTAAATGAATGCCCGAGAATTTTTTAGAAATCAATGGATACTTCTCGTTGACGTCATACTGCAACACGATTGGACAATCGAACAATACCTTCTCCATATTAGGGTATTTTTGGCGGGATAACGAAGAGTCCATGTTTTGATCTTATCATCCATTGACTGGTAAAGCAAATAACGAACACTTACCGAAACCATTTTTCAAGGTCATACGAAAATCGTTCTAACACTAGCCAGGAGGAAACTTTTGTCATTTTGGCCAACTAATCTGATGCGCTACGTTACAGTTGCTGCTGTAAAGGATCTGATGCATGGTGGGACTTTGTCTCTACTTGTGTCCACTGTTTGTATTATCTTACACTGTAAAGATATGTATACTGCCAGTACCAACCTGTAGGCTGGCACGGATGGGTTAGCAATCATCACAGCTTCTAAATGAAACCTCCCGTCTCCAAGATAACTACAGGAATTAAACGCAAAAATTAACATTTGAAGTAAAATTCTTTATAGAAATCTTATCGATGTCTGCAATCTGCATACAGGTGCGTTCACTTTCAGGGGTGATTTGTTTGCAGAGGTCAATTTTATACAAGTGTAATTTACAAGTGTACCTATTGTTTTAGAGTCTGAAAACAATAGTTGCACTTGTAAATTACACTTGTAAAAGCTTTATTAAATTAAACCCTGTTTTAAAGGTTACCAACCAGATCTTAAAGTGAAACGGCACACGGTCAAATGGAATGTACTTTTAAAAGAGACCTTATTGAATCTAATATTTCACTAACTGGTTTAAATCGGACACAATACCTATCGATAAAAACAGTTCATTGCAAACCAAATGGAAAATGTCATTATACTTTAACAACTCTCACTGCATAGTTCAACACAGCAGGTATTAACATCATATCTTACACAAATGCATCTTTGTCCTTTATCCTTGGAGCAGTGCATCCCAGAATCTCTCCTGGTGATAGCGGTTTACTTTGAGGCATCTCAACCTTGAAATCTTTACACAATTCTTGATAGACAGCCTAAAAGATACAAAAGCAAACGTATCAACAATCGCAGCTCTAAGTTTGCCCAAAGTAAACAAAAATTCTTAATTTATCTTTCAAAAAATCACTGACTGAAAAACAGATTCAGTAAAAACCTGCCAGTAAGAACCTGCATTTTTCCCAAGTTAGCCTAAACAGGTTCTTAAGCTACGTGCAAACGGATGAAACAACTCTCAACATTGTTAGCCCAACAACCCCCAACATAGTTGGCCCAAACTTTGCGCCACAACATCCAACAACATGCAACAGATTGTGCAAACGGACGCAATATATGACATCCAACAATGTTGGGAGTTGTTGGCCAACAATGTCGCGTCCGTTTGCACGGGGCTTTACATAAATGGTGCTAGAATGAGCAAAAAATTTTGGCTATTTAGTAAAGTTCTAAAGTTCTAAAATGGGTTCAAAATTTTCTGAAGAAAACAATACATTATAGATGAGAGTATTTGGTGGAATTCAGATTATTCCTTATATAAAATGGACATACCAAATTAATATTTATGTACAAATGAAGGTTGACTTATCTTACTTGTCAAAGTGTATGCAATTTTTTTTATAGATTTTAGAAAATAAGGACCTGACTCGAATTTTAGCCCGACAGGTTCTTAAAAGGCAGGTTTTTACTCGCTGGTTTTTAATGTAGTTGAATGCTGGCCTATTGTAGGCGTTCAAATAGCGAGAATTGGCGCCGAAGGAGGGCCCACAATACAGGCGCTCAGCGATCAGATCAACTTTGTGCCCAGAGTTCCCTCCCTTGCCTCGAGGAATAACCCTCGTTGCGGCTGGTCACGTGGCTCCCAAAATGTGGCAGCAAACAAGGATTTACCTCATGGGAGGAGTAGTAAAGTATAAAATTGTCGCTGTTGAGATAAAAGACACAAAATACACTGGAGAGCTTGTAAGCTAGAGAGGACTCCTTTGAAGTATAATGGTCATCAGACCAAGTTTATAGCAAAGGTTTTCAGTCCACATCATACATTTGCTTTCTACCTTAACATGGTTCTAGTTGTTGTAGACTTGAGAAAAGCAAGTTTTGGGCTGAAAACTTTCGACTCTTCTTGGCGGCAATTCAAAGCGAGGGTTAATGAACGATTCAGAACAAAAAACTCAAGCCGGAAAGCCATCATCTTAATGGGTTCCGAAATCATATGATGAGATGAAGAAGCATACAGATCAATTTTGGCATCTCCAGAAAAAAAGACGCTATCAAAAATTTGGGGCGCTGAGCTGAAACAAGTCTTCAGTCCATAGAAACTGTGAAATATGAATCAAAGGTAATTTAATTTAATTTCACGGTCGACTACACCTCAATAAGACGAACACTTCGGTAGAACGGACAGCTAGAGTTGGTCTCTGCCTTTCTTTCCTCCTTTTAGTTGACGTTGAATAAGACGGACATTACTCTAAGGCGGATACTTGGTGCCGGTCGCAAAGATGTCCTCCTTGGAGGACTGTAAATTTCTGTGCGGCTCTCGAAAAACCAACGTGATAGCGCCGGTTCATTCTCAATATACACGTAGGTTGTTATATTTATACTATCGTCCACTGAACTGTGGTTCGTCTAAAAACTGAACATCACGCAATTTGTGTTACTCAAGAAAATTTACCAACAACAAATATATATACTCACATCGATTTTAACCATTCAGATCTCGAATCAAGAAATGGTCGAAACAATTATGTTCAAAAGCAAAAGCAATGGAACTTGTTGTACGTCTTATTTGTTCTTCATCTCTATTCTTCGTTATGAAATTTGACGAGAAAAAAGCGATTGTTTCGGTTCAAACAAAGTTTTAATACACAAAGAACAAAAAGGAAACTTAAGGTCTTCATGAAAGGTGTCTGATAGTAAAAAGCAATTAAACTGATTTCAAATTTATTCATGATTGGAATATTAAACTTGCAAAATCACCTTCTTATTTACAATACAATTTCAAGCCATTTACGTCCAACTTTACAATAATAACTTACTTCCGATTATAAAAACGTTTTGATCTGTCTGAGGAAAACAGAGATAGCTTTTAAAAGCGCGTTTGCCGGATGGTTGTCTTAAAATTTCTAGAAACCAAGCGACAAGTGCATGCGCTTATTTCAGCATAACTACTCATTAAGCTTGAAAAATGATAAAAAAAGATTAAAAAAAAAAGCTTCAGCTGAAAATTGACCTGTCACACAACAGGGGAAGGAATCGGCCAAATAGGGTTTCGACATGTTGATAAAATACTTTTACAGTCGAACATCTATATTACGAAGTCTTCGGTTTAACAAACGATTTTCTTTACCCAGTAAAATATATGAAAAAGAACCTTGATATAACGACACCGCGTTAAGGCGAACAAATTTTGTCAGTCCTTTGGTCCTTCGTTATAACGAGGTTCCACTGTACAATAAAGTTAATTCAACAATAAAACATGATTAGTACTAAAACAGACAACAGACTACAGACAGTACTAAACTGATTAAACGTCCAACCTTAAGCTCAAGGCCTCAAAAAGTTCAAGGTTTATACTGTGGAAAATTAAAATGCAAATACCCTAAAAAATAAATAGTATTTTGTCTCACCACAGATTATCATGGAATGTCATTTCGGTTGAGTTCTTCATTGTCAGTGTCTCTTACAAGTCTCACGACATTCGAGAATCTTTCAAGATAAGATATCATAACCATGCAGGGTTGGTACCTGGAAGAGACTACTGAAGAGTAACTGAGACATTTGCAAAGGCTAGAAAACTTAGGAAGAATGACGTTGTAGTTACGAAAGTAAAGAGTCGAGGCCTCAACTGCCGTAGGAACAATAGCACCTAAGCGTTGCAAATAATAAATGCAGACAACTATAATTATCGCCTTTTATTTTAAAGCAACATTTAACAGCAGGGCTAAAATAATCAATAAAAGATGCGATAAACGGCGTTCCGTAGCGCACTCTAATTTCTACTAAATGTTTTTACCCCTTTCTTTCCACAAAAATTTTTAACTGTATTTTACATAGCACCATATAAGTTTTCTCCGGCAAAAATGCCTTAAACGACCTAAATGGCAACTGTTTACTTAATAATCCGACTGGAAAATTTTCTTGTCTCCCTACAAGCCAAATCTGAGGTCAATAAATTTAAACATCCTCTTACAGCATGAGTCATTCTGTTCAAGAAAATCTTGGAGAAATATTGCACTTCACCAATTTGCCAGGCTACCGCAATGAGATTTTTGCTTTTTGTAGCCTTCCTTGTGATTTTCGCGGAATGCGCGGCGAATGGGACTAAGACAACAAAAAAAGGGCATGGTGAGCCAGTTGTATGCAATCAGTACATTGGACAGGGCGCTGTAACTAGCGATGATATCAAGAAACTCGATGAAAAGCTCGATCAGCTAATTAAACTGCTACAGCCTTCTCCTTATGCAGGTAATTTAAGAATTTATATATTCCATTCTAACACACAGAGAAGCTACTTATAATTATTTCTTATGTAATTAAAGTAATAACACCTTGAAAAGGAAATGTAATGTGAGATAATTCAACTTCACCACAAACAAAGACATTTTGCAATAATTCTTCGAAAGTTTTTGGCTTTTTGTCCTTGATGTTTCTCTTCTTAAAATTGTAGTAAGTTAGACACAAACAATTTAACGCGGAACTAGCCGACAATGCGAAAAATGAAGTAAAACTTAATGCTCGCGGTATTATTGAGATAGGGCTCTAATTTTCGTCACCAGTATCGTAAACTAGTTGAAATCAACGGCAAAAATTGGATTCAAATTGAAGTTCCTTGTATGTGGTCTTCATATGGCTAATATCATTTTCTACTGAATTCCCAACAGCTTCAACGTGCAAGGAGATTTATGACAAGAACCTGTAAGTATAAGGCTGAAGAAATACAAATACACCTTATTTTCGTAGTAAACACAGAGTTAAGCAAGAAAAATTACCGCGGCCGAAATCTGCTACTACTCATAACCCAGAGAAGACGTGGTTTCCAAGACGTCAGTAAGCTTCAGTAAAAAATGACGTGTACTTTGCGTGTTGAAAAAGAACAGAGAGAATTCATAGTATGGCCCACAAAGGGCATACGATCTAAACTTTGTTTTTGACTCAACAGCAAAAGGTTTATATCAAATGATGACGAGAATCGTTTACGGAAAGAACAAAATTTCTAAATGTAGAAAACAATGGAAGTATGTAACAAATACATCAAAACTGTGAATATTATCCGTATTTTTGGGTTTAATGCTCCTTCATTTCGAGCCACAAAATTGAAAAGAAAATACGTGCTGTGATCAAAATTAGGGTTTAAAATCATAAAGACACTGCGCCAATCTTGACCTACAGAAAAGATCTTTTCATAAAAGACTGGGCTTTCAAGTTCAGATCGCAAAAAGCTGAAATTCACATAGAATTGCTTCTTAATTATCTTCATGATTGTAGAATACAGAAAACAAAAACTGGTCCAAAAATGGTAAAATAAACTAAAATACCGATAACTACAGTTTTTTTAAAAAAAAACCAGCAAATAAGCAAGCACTAATAATTAACGAAATACTCAAGACGAAGGATAGTTCATCAACCAGCAACTTTATAGGACTGAGAAATTTATCATTTAATTAGGAGCGAAGCCCGACACTGGTGACAATGGAACAAGAGGAAAAAAATTGAGACGCTAATCGACAAAGTCAGCAATTACAACCTCGCTTGATATTTTTATATTTCCACTTCCACTTTTCACTGGATATGAAAGACTTCCATTTTCTAGAATTCTCCATTTCTATGGGGCCCTTACTAAGACACCCTTTCTATGGCCCCACTGAGATGAGCGAAATGTGTCAAAATGAGGTGAACCAATGAAGTTGTATGTTTCGCCAGGTCCAAAGGAAACAAAGAGTACCTTCTGAACGTTGGGTCTGCAAAGATTCCCGTATATTGTCACATGACCAAGCATGGCCTTGATGCATGCGGAGGAGGTGGATGGACGCTGGTCATGAAGATCGATGGTTCAAAGGTATTAAAAGTTAAATGTTCTCACAAGCACCTCTGTCTGTCACCACTTACATCCGCACTATTAAGGTCAACGTACATGGCGAGGGGAATCTAGTAAGTGTTGGTTTGATAACTGTTGGTTCGATGATTTATCAATTCAGTGATGAGACCATGATTTTGCTCTGTCTGTCTGTCACTTAAATTCAGACCATTAATTAAGGTCAACATACAGGGTAATAGTGGATCCATTATATAAGTGTAGGTTTGATAACTGTTAGCTCGATGATTTATCAATTCAGTGAAGACCAAAATGCTGATATTATATTTGTCAAATTATAAAACAGCAAGGCGATAGTACGTTATCAGAATAACTTACATGATGTTTTTTGTTTTTCTCAAATGTTCTTAGGGAACCTTTCACTACAATTCTAAACTGTGGAGCAACAAAGTCGACTTCAATCTTCCAGGAGGGAAGACTGGGTTGGACACTCACGAGACCAAGTTACCGACTTATTGGAACACACCGTTTAACAAGATCTGTCTTGGAATGAAGATCGGTCAGCAGTTCAAGTCTGTTGTCATCAACCATCCAGCCAGATCCCTGTATTTACTGATTGCAGAGGGCAAATACCGAGCTACTTCACTAGGCCGTAACACATGGAAGAAGCTCATTGGGTCTCGTGCCTCTTTACAGACCAACTGTAACATGGAAGGATTCAACGTCCTGAGTTCTATCAACAACAGCAAAGCGAGAATTGGTATCTGTAGTAACGACCAAAATGAATGTCTCAGCTGTGACTCCAGGATCGGGTTTGGCACTGGAGGGTACCCTGATGACTCCAATACGTGTGGCAACGAAGCTAAGCATGGAGCAGATAATGGCGACCAGCACATCAAAGCGATGGGTTATATTTTGGTCCAATAAGAGGTCTAATACGCAGAAACAGCCTTCAAGCGACCTTAAAATGCAGCTAAGAAACTGTTAATTATTTTTAAAAAGCGGTTAAATAAGGAATTTGCAAAAATAAGGTGAAATAAAATTTTGCATTAAAAGGCCAGAAACGCTGCTTCTTTGATGACTGAATGTAGTTCTCTGTATTATTTTCATTACATTAGTATCGTCTCAGGTCAAAAACTATATCCGGATAACAAGCGCGGAACGAAGTGTTATGAAAACTGCTCGAGCCATGTAAAAAAAACTAGCTTGAATTTCAGACGTCTCCTCGAGTCGCAAACATCTTTCCCGGGAGTTTGCGACTTGACGAAACGGCTGAAATTCAGGCTAGTAAAAGGCGAGAAAGTTGATTTTCGTCAACATTGAAATTTTGCTTAATTCGTAAAATAATTAAAAAGAAAAGAACAAAAGACGTGTTCTATAGAACAAAGTTAAAATTTGGCCCAGCAGCGGAAAATGCGTTTTCGTAACGTTAGAGTTAACCACACTTCATACAGAAAGATCACTAAAAACAACAACAAACAAGAAACTAGGACCAAAGATAAAACGGAACACAACAAATAAAGACGTTTTAGGTTTACAAACCTAAAATTCCCTCAACTGAGTTCTGTAAACTCTATAAACATTTCTATAAACATTGGCCAAATTTATACTACAGGCTAATTATCCGCCTAAGACAAGATATACTTCTGGGACGAATAATTCGTCTAGATATAAATCCGGTGTTTTGATGAATTTTGGGCCAAAATTCGTCTTCGCTTGATTCGTTTGTCAGACGTCTGAGGTTGATAATCCGTTGTTAAATTTATATCTAGACGGAAAACGAAGACGGATTTCTGCTCAGTTTTGACTTGAGTTCGCTGTCATATCTATTCATTCGCAAGGTTTCATGGGATATAATGTCAACGAAACAGCTAAAAGGAGAGGAAAAACAATCACTCCCGGCTTGAAACAAAGCTAGCTGTGTGAAATGTCATTGGACAAATGTGTGATTATTGAACTTCTAGTATAGTTATTAAACTATTGTGTTGTCACTGAACAATGTTAAAAAAAAGGTCAAGTAAAGACTGTTAAGAAACGCTGTTAACACACTATTACAATGAAATACTGCCATTTTTCTCGATCTTAGCTGTTCATCAAAAGAGCTATGAAGGCAGGCTTTTTGTTTATCATTCATGCCCAGTCTTTTAGGACAAATGTCCTCTAAAATTCGTCTAAATTCGTCTTACGAATTTATACTTAAACGAATTTCTTGTCGGGCGAAAAACTCATCTCCAGTATACGTTCAGCCATTTAGAAAATTCGCCTCCAGGATAAATTCGGCCATTTTATTTCGTGACCGGAAATAGGTACACAGGAACCACAATTCTTTTCGTCATTTATCTTCATATTTGGATTAGTAACTCAATGAAGTTTCTTGCAATGATGTAATTTCTCTCGATTTTCGTTTACTTATTCACGACTCAATCATCGTCAAGGAAGTGAAAAACTTTGCGTAAGGAAATCCTGTTTCGTGTAGAATCAATCGCTTCCTCACTTCTTATCTATCTCCGGCAAGCAAGCGAGACATTAACGCTTTTAGAGCGTTCTTGTTATAACTTAAACTCACGTGCATTGCTATTTAGCGATCTATTGATCTCATTTCACCTTACCTAGAACCAATAAGCACTATTTTTACCAACGTAGTCCGTAGTCCGTATTTTATACCCAGTCCGCAGTCCAAAGTCCGCGTCTTATACCTAGTCCATATTTGAGGACTCTTTTGTAAATCACTTATCAGTGAAATTGATATCCTCAATAAAGATTATTATTATTATTATTATTATTATTATTATTATTATTATTATTATTATTATTATTATTATTATTATTATTATTATTAAAGCTGGTTCTGCAAGGAAAATTGACAGCTGCAATGAAACTCCTAGATAACGAGAGCTCGTCCGGTCTGCTCGACCTATCGCCAGATGTCCTTCAAGGGCTACAGGACAAGCACCCACAGGCAGCTGATATCGCAGAGGAGAGTTTGTTACATGGCCCAATTGATTATATTCCGCCAAATGTTTATGACCTCATAGACGAAGAATCGATCTACAACTCGGCAAGTAAAACCAAGGGCTCAGCCGGACCATCTGGAATGGACGCAGAGCTGTATAAGAGAATCCCAGGCGGTGTGCGTCACGAGATTCGACCAACCAGAATGCGTCATTTGTAGAGTGATTTTCGCGCTCGGAAAGAGCTGTTTTCAGAGGTATATGTGGTGAAATTTTCGCTTTATTCCAAGCTTGTGTTGGTAATTTCGACACTATACCTCCGTGGAAAGTTGTTGGAACACTTTATCTTGATAGCAGTTGCATTACTTTTAAATATTTTCCTTTCTTGAGCGTTTGTGACAAGTTTGAATTGCTCGGTCATGTGCAGGCCGTCATGATGATTTGAGTGTTGATTTTGCCGTTCTTCTTGGATTTATTGCTGGTTACTGTTAGCGGTTTTATCGAATTATTGTGGCCATCTTGTTACTTCAACCCTTCTTCTTTGCAAATTTCGGGGTCTACCCGGGTCTACCCCTGTTAGTTTTCCGTTATGAGCCGTTGAAAGTGTCTTGGAATTAAGACATCGTCTTAGCCAAGTGGCACAACTCCCGGGAAACGGGCTGAGAAAACATGCCGAAGCAGAAGCCGACGTGAAGCGAGTAACTCCCAAATGCAGGAAGAGTTTGTTCTATCTTAAACCACAAAAGGTAAATAAGTTTGAATATTGTAACAACCTCTGGAAAAAAAACATTTTTCATAACCCAGTACGGAAACTGAAAGGGTGAATTTAAAATAATTTGCATGCGGTGTGTGCTGTGTGTATGCAAATCTTTGTGTAAACTTATTTGAGGGAATAAATTGTTATAAATCTCTACCAAAACACAAAACCATTATCGAAGATCCAGACAACATCATACAGGATTTTAAAACTGTGAGGTTGGGTTTTACTTTATAACAAAATCAATATACTGCGCTCACTTCAATGACCGCACAGACAAGATCATGGTTTATTTCACTGTTTATTTCGACGACTGTAGCTTCGGTGAAATTCCGACTGTGCTGCAGCTGTTCGGCTCTTTCGGTCTGTTTTCCCCTTGCCTGATAGATGATTTATTTGGGCATAAGGATTTCAAACGGGCACTATTTTCAAAATAATATAAACTTGTCGATGAAAATAAAATTGTTCTGAGAGACGCCTTGCTGTTTGCACGCACTCTCCCTGCTTTGCCGGTAACAAAGTCCATCAAATATATAAACACTTCTAATGGACGAATTTTTTTTTTTAGTTAAGCAAATCCAGATATGAAATACAGATCTCTTTCACTATGAGATAAAAACATACATATAAACCAAACAGTACATAAAATCTTATGAGAAGCAGGAAATTAGTCGCTCAAAGTCGGCTAGATCGCACGATCGCCCCCGAATCGCGATAAACTTCTTGAAATTGTCTTGTGAAGTCAATAGCAAGCATCTAAGGCCACTATGAGATCTTGAAAATTCTCGAAATCGCTCTCTTCCGTAATGTTTTTCGGAAAAGGCAGCAGTGTTTTGATCCCTGTGTTTGATTCATTTCTCTTACGAGATGCGAACTCGACCGTGTCACGATTGAAATGAGGCACAGTAACAGTTTTACCCACGAACCTTTGTGGGTCATGACGCACACCGCCTGAGAGAATCCTGTGCTCTAAGAATTTCAAGACCGAGGGCAAAATATTGAGAGAAGAGCTAGCCGTGTTCACAAGAAATCTGCTAAGGAAATCGTACCACCCATCCTTACTTGAAGCCTTTACGTCCTGCAGGCTTATCCCGCTCGATAAGAACCCGGGAATCAGACCAATTGGTGTTGGAGAGGTACTAAGGAGAATAGTGGGGAAAACGGTCAGCGGTTTCTTAAAGGAGGAAATAAAAGAAGCGGCGGGTCCCCTACAAGTTTGCGCTGGTCATAATGCAGGAGCGGAGGCTGCGATCCATGCAATGAGTCAAGTGTTTGTTGAAGAAGGAACAGATGGAATATTGCTAATTGATGCTAGTAACGCTTTTAACCAAATGAATAGATCAGCGGCCTTACACAATATCCAGATCATGTGCAAAGAAATAGCGCTCTATGTTATTAACACATATAGAAGCCCATCTAGACTGTTTATTTGTGGGGGAGGTGAAATACTTTCTCGAGAAGGCACCACACAAGGAGATCCGCTAGCGATGCCATGGTACGCACTTAATACATCCATAATGATACAGAATTTGAGGGATCATTGCCCATTGGTTAAACAGGTGTGGCTTGCAGACGACTCAGCTGGAGGAGGAAGTATAGTGCAGTTATACAACTGGTACAGGCAATTGAGTAAGGAAGGTCAAAAGTTTGGTTACCTTGTGAATGGGACAAAGAGCTGGCTTATTGTGAAGTCTAGGGAACTCGCGGAGGAAGCAAAGAGGGTGTTTGGAGAGGAAGTCAACATAACGACTGAAGGTCAGCGCCATCTGGGAGCAGTTATTGCGTCGCAAGAATACAAAGATCAGTATTGTGAGGAGAAGGTTCGTGCATGGAAAGAGGAAATCGAACGTCTCTGTGAAATAGCGAAGAGCCAGCCCCATGCGGCGTATATTGCTTTCACAAAAGGCTACAAGTCGAAGTTCACCTACTTCATGCGCACGATTGAATCGTTTGAAGTTTATGTCGATCCAATCCAGGAAGTGATTGAAGATTTACTACTCCCAACTTTGTTCGGTCAATCAGAGCCTCTCCCTAACGAGGTGCGCAGACTTGCTACCTTAGCAACGGGTCAAGGGGGTCTAGGCATTCCTGATCTGAAATCCGAGGCACCGCAGCAGTTTGCTGCCTCGAGACTAATAACCACCGCCCACGTAGATTCTATTACATCACAGAGTTCCATCATGGTGCCAGGAGAAAGATCTACGGAGGAGCTAAAGAGG